GGGGCGAAACGGCTAATGAAGTAGTTCATACCCATGACACCGGAAATGTAACCGGAATCGTAACCGAAAAAGATACCACCAAAGGCAGCAAAGGCGCACATCATGTAAGCCTTGAACGTCACTGGGGCCTCGACACGGGTGACATCAACGGTCTGTTCGTGTGGAAGGTGTTCTTCGACATCCTTTGAATTGAAATCAGCGTCAGACATTGTAAAGTTGTATGGGTAAACTAGGATATGGATGAAGAAAAAATACCCGAATCTAGAAACGAGGAATGGCCCTATTTATATACAAAAATATATCTGTGCGAGGGAGTATCACACTGGACTCCAGAGTTCTCTCCAAAAAATTCATGTACCCCGTGGGGGGGAGAACAAGCGGGATACCGAACGCGCGTCGCAACATGCGTGCATGCGCGGAAAAAACTTTCCCCACCCCCGGCTTTACGGAGAAAAGTGCGCCCGGGGGAAGTTGCGTCCTGTAGTGAAAGTTTTTCCATTCAGCCACTTTCTCCGGAAAAGCTTGAACTTGCTGCTCTCCATCCCCCAAAGTATAATTCTAAAGGTCACATTCAACTAAATGCGACTGGAGGGAGAGGCTGTATATGTAACGATACCAATAATGCGTATGGCTCTGGGACTGTGCTTGCTGTAGAATAATAGGCCTTGAAGCAGGAGTGGTCATTTCGCATATTCCCGCCACGGAGAGCTCCCGGGGTGCAAGCATGCTGTTATGAGATCTAGACTTTCTCCGTACTCGGAAATTTATCACCTACGTGCATAATTTCTAGACGCGGCTGCAGGGTAGAATTTTCTCGCGTGACACGGCGGAAATATATCCCCCTCCGACAATCTTGGATAAGGGCCACATGGCGACTGTATTGCTCTTTCCCCTCTGATTTGTTTGTCGATTTTCGTGGTTCTACCCCCGCAAGAATTACTCAGAGTTAAATGATCCCCATCCAAAGGTGGTTATACGATTGAATGTATGGTCCAATGTATCGATATCGTGTAACAGTCGAATGTCTCACATGGGGGGATGCAGCTATCCGGCAACTTTTTTTTTCCACCTGAGAATTTCTCCGGTTTTTGGGGAGCGTAATATAAGCGGATAGAAACCCGATTCGGACCGTGTTGATGCAAAGCGCGTTTCAGGAGTTCAGCCTCTGGCTAGGCCACTCCTGACTCGATTGATTGGCTATCCCACACTCACAAAGTATAATTTACCAGTGCGAGGAATATACGGCTTAGTTAAATTTCTCACCATGATGTTTGCCAGCTCACATGGGTGTCACCCAACCAGTATCGTCACGAATATTTCCACTCCAGCTGGGCCAATCCTTACACTGCCGTCTAGTAATGCGGACGTCTAACAATAACACTCAGTGCTAGCCTTACGGGTAACACATCGGCCCGCATACCTGCAAGACACCGGCTGACAGGCATGCATATTGCCGCTCCCTAATGCTCGTGGAGAGCAGCTGGACGCATCCTGGATGCCTATGGCCAAACTCCTCGGGTTATAGTATCTCCATCTGCATGTATAAGCTATCTGCAATGAATAAGCAATAGGGGTAAGTTTCTTGACTTCAGTGGAGGAGACCAGGTCCGGAACACCTTACACCTAAATTCAGCCATCAGCTGACGATGATCAATCAGGATAGTGGCACCTGGCCAGAAGGTTCTACCAATCGTACCCTAGCTTCCCGTGTCCTCGGGGGGACCGTAACCACCCCCGTCTAGGTTTAGTCTCATAGCCGTTCCCCTTGTACCGGAGGAAATTTGCGTAGTCTCAATTTTCACCCTTGGGATTATAGTTGTGGAGTAGCTCTTCGTTTTTGATAATTTTGAAAAGATTTTTTCCGCGTTTCTCTCCACAAAGGTGCATGCGACTGGGCGGGGTAGTATGGAGCTACATACACCCGAACAAAACCGGCCCGTACAACTTCGTGTAGACCTTTAGAGATGAGGACAAGTACTACCGATATTTAACCAGCAACTCCCAAGGTGGTTCTTTGATAATTCAAGCCGGAAGCCCAAACCCATTTCATTGCGGATGGTAACGCAACCTAGGGCCTGAGATGTTGAAACTGACGCGCAATTTTACGTGCATGAGGTTTGGAGTATTTAGTCAGCATCGGGGAAAACGCAGCCCCGTAGTTTCTCCATTGACGCACGGGAGATCCCAAAGTTTCACCGACGGCTGGAAAATTCCCCGCTCTCAAAATTTCTTTTTTCCCGCCTCGAACTCAGACTGAAAACAGGTTAAGGTCCCCGAAGCCTTCGCTTTTTGATCCTACATACAGGCCAAGACATTGGCTGGTAAATCTAGCCTGACTCCAAGCTCGTGTATCATGATACCCAACCTTGCCTCCGCCCATTCAGAAATTGAATGAGACCTTTTTGCACCGGCGTGAGTGCACTCACTCTATAATAGATCCTTACATGCAGAGTCCCGTAGTTATGCACCCCAGAGCATTCATGACATTGAAAAAATCTCGGCACTCGGAGGTTTAGTGTCGAGCACCGATCCCTCCGCATGTGCCGCACGATTCAATGAAATATCTCGTCGAAGCACGAGCGCTGGCCACACCCAACGGTGAACCAAGACATTGAGCATGTTCCCCTGCAGTCGTGAGATCAATCATACCCAAGCCAGGTGCAGACTATATGTGTCGTACTTCTGTTAATCCGAAATGCGGAACACCTTTCAACGCAAATTGTATAGCTTATTTCTTTTTGAAAAATTTACCGTATTCTCGGCACGGGAGCCACGCGCATAGGAGATAGCAGCTATCTATACTATTGAGTAGGAGGGTATAGGCTACGGGATGTAAGAAAATTGATCGGGCCATAGGCACATGTGAAAATTCACAGAACCTTGTTTGGTGTGGGGAGTCGGAACGAATGGGAAGTGGCATAAACGTGGTGTGACATGACTGATGTGCTATTTATCCATATTCCCAAGTCACGCATATGCTAGTGGTTGAGTCATGTCCTTAAGATTAGACGCGTCTTCCCCGCTTCGCTAGGTCTCCACTCCACGCCGGACTCTTAGACATGCATAACTTCAGTCTTACCAAAATTTAGGTTCTCATCTTTTTCGCTTCCTTACCTCTGGCCAAGTGAAGCTTCACCAATATCTATTCAAAACGTGAGTATTAGTGGTACTGATGATGTCTGATTTTATCCACGTCTTTCCCAAACCCCACCGTATCACTTCTACATGACAGCTATTCTTCGGTAGCAGCTTTCTGTTCATGCAGAAATAGAAATAATTAGGCATATGTTGGTTCTCTAGTACTGTTGATCCATCACTGCTTTCCATCACGACCAGATCCACTAGCCTTGCCCAAACAAAATTTGGTGTATTCAACAATAAAGAGGAAACTAGTACTCCAGTCGCGGTATTTCGACTCCTAGGAAATTCCAAAGACAACAGCCAGTCTGGGTTAATGGAACCACGAATGCAGTTTCTGTAACTGTCCCTGGATTCTCTTGGCTTCCAACCGCATGAGAAATGCGATGACTCAGAGTTGGTCAGATAAGAACATGTCGTTTTCGCATTCATCGAACTATTGAACCTGAGTGTGGCCTAAATCTTCGGTGTTTATATGACCATCTTCCCATGAACACAAACTCATGTTTATTTCAAGTGACGAGCTTACAGCGATGCCTAGACAGCCCCACTCCCATCGGCTTGGGGTGTAGAGCTACCGTTTATCTAGTTACCCATCATCTATATCTTGTAACGACTTAGGTTATCGTTAGATACCGAGTAACCACAGTTCTCCACGCATCGTCGTCTGGTCCCTTAGAATAGCGCCAAGAGCGTGTATTCCATGCTGAGACGCATGCAGGTGAGACCGTGGCGCATGTCGGGGAAACCGTTCCGCCAGCGTTGCATCCCGCTCCTTTTCTCGGCAAAACGATTAAAAATTCACGCTTAAAATCGTACAGACCCTTATTAACACGAGAATACTCGATCTTCCACTTTAGACTGAGCTTCAAGGTGCTTAAATCATTCTAAACCGCGGGCTCTATTCATAATCTATTAACCTATCGGAGCTACTGATTGGATATTTTTGTAAATTTAGCATTCGTTGTATACAGTATGGATGACTATTTGGTAGCAGCACATTAGATAATAAAGCAAATCAACTAGAGTTCGTCACCGCTGGAACCGTGTGTAGTAACCAATTTAGTGTCTTCAACAAAGTCAGTTGGGTGACCAGCGTACGTGCTGTGTGGAACCCACTTGGCAGAGTTACGTGGGTTGGTCTCCTCCATCATTCTGTCAACCTGCTCCAAAGTCAA